CTAAAGCAATCAACTTCATTTTCAGTCTTGCTATTTCATTACTGATTTTCACAAAATCCTTTGGTAGTTTATTAGATGGCCTTAAGACAGTCATACATGTTTTGCTCTCTAGGGTGAATGCTCTTGGTGCATTGGCAGTCAGATTCTTCCAAGTGCAGTGTTATGGACCATGCATTAACCCGACAAACAATAAGTTGTTGTGAGACATTGTATTATCGGTATGACCAGGTTAACTTGATAATAATGATTAATGAGTGTCATCTTGAAGCAGAAGATTATTGTAGTGGATTACTTTAAGCAAGTCACTCAGCAAGATCGATATATGAAATCATTTGCAACTGCAGTATCAAACAAAACTAGGCTAAGAAAAACAGAAGTAATCAACAGAAGGAAATCATTTCATTCAAATTGAATCGTGTTTGAGCATAGTACATATAAATGTACGTATTTGTCATCCAAGTTGACACATAAACAAGTACTGTATCTGATACGAGTGACACCCCACCCAATTCAAAGGTTATTTGGTTATTGTGGCACTACTAATTGTTTTTATAGCATGATAATGCTAGAGTAATTTGAAGGATTTTTTTCAGCTGGAGATACATTTTAACAATTTTAGGAATGAGATGTTAATTAAGTGTAACGAACCTTGATGATTACTTTTCTACTAGGTTTGTACAGTGCTAATTTGGAGTGTTGTATGAGTTAATTTCAAGACATAATTATGAATTTTTAGGTGATCACATGTAATGATGATGATGAGGTGTATATTCCAGGAAGTTAAAAAGAGGTGCCAGTACAGACTTTAAGTTGTTTGTGTGGCATAGACAATACAGCATGCTACTGTCGGACCACGTTGCAAAACTTCATGTCAAAATAATCTGAATATGCAGGAATAATATTTTCTGATGTACCATATTTGTGCAATACACATACATTTCTGAAGCTCTGTGTACAACTCCCACAGATACAGCACTGCGAAAACAGTGACAGAGCAATGAGAATTAGTGTGGGCAGCTGCAGATGATAATTTGGTTTTTCATTGAATTCATACTATTAGATTAGCCCATATTGGTAGAAATTTATTCACTATAGTTTATCACTAGCTTGTCAATAGAATCAACCACTCTTTTCAGAAATATATTTCAACTTTTGGACATTGGTTGTTTTATCCAAAGCATAGTTTTATGTCAATATTTGGATGAATAAACTGCACTAAATTGTGTTTCTTAAGACAAGATTAGTAGTGTAAGTGCTGACAAGTACATGTAGTACATTTTTCCCACAGAGACCATACTCCAGTTTGGAATTACGTGACAGAGCTGTGTGACCATCTTTCTATATGGCATTATGGAAATTGAATATGTTATCCTTGTGTCAACCAGGCTCGGCCGAACACAAGCACCTGCAGAACAAAAATCAAGGTTCCCCCAAAAGTCACATTCGTTAGCCAATGAAGTCTGAAGTTAGATTTCTTCTATACTAGAGCATAAAAACTAGAACAAATACGGTATTTGTTCTTTCCACCAAAAGTATTTGTACATTTTATTTTGTTGCCTCTTTAATTCCAAATAATTGTTTTTAAATACAAAAAATACTTTGCATGTGCACTTTACGAATGGTAAGAAAAGTTAAACCACCTTTGTTTTGTCACAAATCCAGACGATTGTCTTTTTGCTTTAGGAGTCATGTAGTTAAACTTTTTTAATTGCTAAAGTACAGTTTATGTGAAATAAAAAATTAATACACTATATCAGCTACTACAGTTTAACACTTTATAAATTAATTCATTATTTGCTTGCACACATTGATTCCCTCAAGTTGACAGAAGGGACAAACTTCAGCAACATTTAGCATCATTGTGTCTTGGGACAGTCAGTCATGATAAAGTGGAGTAGAGATGTCATGGATTGAAATGTCATGGTTGTCTAATTTAAGGCTACCTTACAATGACCCTTGCTGATATCATTCCTTGCTATCTCATTGTTGTATTAATGGACTAACTACTAAGGAAAATGTGTACAAGAAACTCAACAATGACTTTTTCCAATGTTCACTGGGTCAGAACATACAAACAAGGTTTGTGTTAGGATATACAACAAAAAACATCCATCAAATTACCATATAAAAATACAGAGAATTAGAAAGAGACATTTCCTGCCTTTGCTGAATATATGCATGATACTGATACACTCATTGTTATGCAAATCATAGAGATGGATCTTCCTCGCATAATGAGGGCATTTCATCCCTCTATCAACACTATAGGGTGACAAATTCATGGTCAAATCCATGTAACTACCAGCATGTACTACCGGTATATTAGTAAAGCTTTGTTGATAAATCAAGGTATGACATCAGTGACTAAAAGCACTGTCCTCTGAAAAAGTCAATTACTGTTTTGAATAAATAAATAAAAATGAGCGTACAGCTGATAGACATGATGATAAATTACGGCTGCCAAACAAGCAAGCGAAAAAGATTTTTCTCAGTTCCTTTATGATACATGACATTTCAATTAAAAAATCTACTTGCTGACTGTTGCCTCCCAAATGAATTATCTGCATTAGTGTGGACTGTCCCTAAACATACACAAGCCAAGTTAAGAAATCTATCACAGTAGATAAACAAGTAGAGACTGTTGTAACAGAAAAGTCAATAGGCAAAGCAGAAAAATCTTTGATGAAACAGAGGTGCAAAAAATTGTAATTTTTCATGAACAATTATGTACATCAGGTGGTAATGGGTCATTAGAAGTATACCCGACCACATGCAGTTAGCATTGTTCAACTCATTATTATAATTAATTTTAATATTTGTCATAAAAAAATGACAATATTGTTTTATAAAGCTACATTTATTTCAGTAAATGGCTAATGCTGAACTACTACAACAATAACAACATAGCTTACTGGTAATTACTATAATTCATCTTCCTTTCATTTAAATAAAATCCACAAAATTGATCATTATTTCAATTTTTCTGCAGAAACCAATTTAGACTACAGTGTTACACATACAAATAGAAATCTATTTTATACTGAAAGTGACAATTTTCATTATAATGGATTGACGAAAGAAGAATATACTGTATGATTATTAATAGAATGACAAGTTATAACTCAGTACTGAAAAAAATAAACAGTATGACCAAGTTCAGAACAGCAGGTGAAGATATGAAATGAAAAACAAGCAGCATTTCGAAACGGGTATGAATGTCATTATTTAGATTCTCAAAGAATACAGAAATAGGGAGACAAACATAAAACAATGAGGTTCAGTTTACAAATTAGAAAAAACAGAGAACATAAATTTATCAATGCAAATTTTAAAATTGATATGATAAGGTTATTAGAGGGGAAAAAATCATGCTGGCCATGTGTGGGTGTTCTAGTGGGAGGTTGTATAGATAGTAGTTAAAGGTCTCTTCTAATAATCTACACTTTCACCTACATTTCCTATTAGCATCCACAGAGAATAATGGGCAGGCACAGCTCATGTCAATAAGGCTGAAAGGGTTGAGCAGTAATGTCGATAGTGAAAAGATACAGACATGTACAATGATTAATGTAGCAACTGGTAGATAATAATAAGAAGAACACATAAATACACACACATGTGTACTTCTCATGTGTATTTTTAATTGGTTGCTAAGTATTTTAACTGTTGTGTAATTATTTAGAGGAGGGGGATTAGATTTTACAAAATCAGAATTTACGATATAAAATGAGTATAGTTTAGTGTCACTGTTTGATGTCCCTTAGGGTAGGTTGATTGAATGATATACAAGACTGAAATCAATTTTAATATTATGAGGGAAATGGATTTTAGCTGGATGACATTTTAAAATTATAAATACTTTGTTTCTTTAAATGTAAGTGGAACAAGTGATTTCCTGTGTGGACAGGTTTTTCCTGAGTTATAAATATTTTCTTGAAACAATTTTGTGACAGTAGCTTGTGTAAATTGGAAGTAAATGTATGTAATTCATGTTTTTTGGGGGAAAAAATATTCAAAAAGTAAGAACATAATATTACTGAGGCAAATATTACAAAAAAAAATCATTATTACATTCATGTAGTATTTAAAACTGGGTTGTGATATCTACTGAGAAACAAGTAACAGAAAATTAATGTAAACACTGAATCCTATGAGAATATGCATACAATATATATACACAGTTATTGATATTGATCCGATGTTGCATTTATTGGCGATTCTGACATTGGCAGAAGCACTACTTCAATATTTAAAATTATATTACTAGTAAATCATTTTGGAGTAACATATGGCCATCTCAATAGACGAATATTTATCAGGGGTCAATCCATGAAATGAACACGTTTTTACCTTTAAATGGTTCATTGTTTTCGTTCATGGTATACTGTACAGGTCAATGTGAGAAAGGACGGACGAAAATTGCAAGATTGAAGCAGGAAATAACATCAATACGGTAGTGGAAAGTACGTGCATTAATTGAAATTCGCTCATTTAATAAGTAGTCTATCAAGAAAGTGCCGAATTGTTCAGATCGAAGATCCCCTCTCATTCATTTTTCACGCTCACAGCTGACGCTCAATGGATAGTCTGTGCGTGTCAAAGCATCAGACGGGAGGGCGCGACGATCATCGGCGACGTAGGAAAGAGAGAAAAGCGAAGATCTTAAACAGTAAGAAGACTGATAAATGGACATCAGATTATCCATAATTCACCAAAATATTAAAAATCGCAGTTGGTTCTTATATCATATGTTAAGTGACATTCAAAACAAGAGGAAATGCAAGCTAATTAAAATCCTTCTCGTCCATATTGCTCGTAGCAATCTGAATTATAATGTCGGGTCTACCTCCGACAGTGCTGGCTGACACCATTTTTCGGCATACGGAAAAAGAAAATTGCCATAACATTCGATCAGTATCACAGATTTTCACCATTTCTTTGAGTACTTACAAAGATAATGCCAAATCAATGACATTTTAAGAAGAAATGAGCTTACAAACCTTCCAATCTGGAATTCTGAGTCCAATATACTGCTGTTTACACGTCCGGCGCCATTTTGTGCTGCGCATGCCGGGAATGCCAGCCCACGTCGGCGATATCCCCCTAGAAAAACGAACAAAGTGTCACGGAAAGTCCTTCTCGGAAAACATTCTGGCAAATTCCCAACATTTAAACTAGGGTTTATAAGACGAATGACAATACCAATGCTAATAATTGGCTTCATAATAACACATAATATTTTTTTTGTATGATTTCATTTGAAAATTTCACACATTTTGTTCTCATTTACTAGCCTGAGTGTGACGAGATATTCCATATTTTTACGACACGCACTAGGAAACCGAAATTAACGCACTTCTCCCGAGCTTCCAAAACAGAATTGTATACGAATATATCCTAGATGAGTAATTTTCCACTCTCATAATAAATAGAATGTGATGTTTACATTTACATTTTGAAAAGTGTCTGTGTTAATTATTTTGGATAAAAATATAATAAATGTTAGTGTTAATCATTAAATTAAAAGTTTTTTAATGTAATGATTATGGTTGTTATACCACTCTAGCCACATATAATGAAGTCGTGTAACAAATGCATAAATACATAAATTATAACCCGAATAAATATCTCACCTTTCTTTGGTCGATACAAATAACAATTTTCTTAGCAATTTCTATATATTCTTCTTAAAAAGAATCACACAACTTATATTTCTAAAGTGTCCGTCCCAATTAGACAAAAAGGCACATGAAACGTAACAGAGAGAAATTCCTTATCAATTATGTAAAAACTGCAACTTGAATCATGGACATGAAAATGAAGAGCGCCATGCTTTATGAAAGTACAATGACACGAGAAAAAATAGGATGGGCGGGGTTTATTCGGAGGTAATGAATTGTCAATTTATTTTTTAATATAAAAGAATCCATACAACTACCCGTGTCCTAGTTTTCGTAATAAGACAACGCGAATAATACAGACAACTTGATTGTAATGTTGTATTGTCAAGGCTGTTTTAATTCGTAACGACAATGCGAAACCAAAATTAAAGGCAATACCTTTTAAGAACTGTATCTAAAATACATAGTGAAGTCAGAAGAAGTTCGTGACCTTTTCACGAAATTGGAAAACGCTAAAACATTGCTGGTCAAATTGGTGTAGAAAGCATCAGCAAATGTGTTTCTTTCCCACGCACATACATGCCATGTATCATTTGTCGAGTTGAAACAAAATGAAAGTACTGTAAAGGGGGTAATTATTCACTGGGTTTTAATTTAGCTTATTTCGCTGACTGGAAAAACGCGCTAAATTAAAACACAGTGAATATGTAAAATTTAGCATAGAACACATTTATCTAAATGACGAAACCGTGAATTTAAAACCCACTGAATATGCTCGAAATGGTAAATCAGTGAAATTTAAACCCAGTGAAAATTAGTCATTTTACAGTATGTCTCATGTGAGGGGTCACTTTCATGAGTTTAGGTGGTGTGTCTCATCGAATAGTTTAATAATTGTCTTGAATTGTTCCACTTTCAAACCTCATAAAACCTAAGCTATCAAGTGATTTCTTAGTTATAAAGCGAGAGGATCGTCGCCTGCGCACGCGCGGGAAACGACACACGCTAAAAACACAAAATGTCATGGGCAGACGCTTGTTTGTAAACAATGACACGCTGTGGCCATCTGACGCATGCGCAGGTGACGACTCTACTAAATACATAGCAATATGTTATCAATTCATATTACTATCTGGACGAGAGTGCTCAACATTCAAGAGAGCCGCAATATTTCCTTAAAAATAACCATTCAATCAGCTGTGATCAATGACATTGCTACACTTATTTTGTTCCTTGTCATGTACCTTTAGTGACATTACATCGCTGATCTCTCTGCATGCAGAGATAGTGGTGCGTACACAGAGATAATCAATTAAATTGTCCACAGTTGTTTGACAAGACAACAATAGCGGTCCGGAACTATATTTGTTGAATTACGTCGTAATAGAAGCTGATGAAAATTACCTTTTTCGAAAAATAATGCAGACAGTAGTAATCTTGCAAATCTGTGGCGGACGTTTCGGCCGCGGACGTTTAGAATTCTTAAAATGATTTTAAATAATGTATTCTTGAAATATTTTTTTCAATAACCCGTTCGTTACAGCATACTTATATTTATCTGCTAATTTAAAATAACTCGTGCGATACAAGTGCGGTATAACTACATTTTTCTCTTGTAGCTACCGTTTTTGCTGTGTGATGTACTTTTACATTTAGAATATTCATCCAATTAATTCGCCTCTCCATACATATAATTTAAAGTTAAAATGCGTGTTTAACTGATCTTACCCAATCATTAGCTGTACGTTCATCTGTTAGCTGTAGGGATTGGTTCATTGTCAAAATGAGGCGTGATTTCCTTATGTGTGCCGATGTTAAAATGATACATTATCAGTTTGTATTAGGCATACGTGAATGTGTATTTACCGATGTTAAAATTAAAATAATCACGGCATATTTATATTTATTTGCTAATATTGTCGTGATTGTAACGCACGAATCTGCCGTGACCGAAACTTCAGAAAACTTCCTATATTCGTATGAATAAAACACGCGTGGCCGAAACGTCCGTCTTTTTTAAAAAAAACAAAAAACGCACACAGAAAAATTAATGGTGTTTGACCTCAGACTAGCAATACTACTAGTCTGAGGTTTGACATTGCTCATAATATTCTCCTATATCAAAGCTATCACTAGTTATTGCCATATACGTCGAGTAAAAACCAAACAAACACACACACAAAACATATACTCATCAATATTGATGATTCCCCTAGTCAAATAGTTCGTGGAAAAAAACAGAGAAATGAAACTGTTTCTTTGTAATAGTTTTAGAATGTGGGCTTGGTGAGTGCATGGAGCTTAGCTCCATGGTGAGTGCATCGACCTTAGAAAGGTCTAAGGGTATGGTCGGTATTTGTTATTTGTGTTTCCTCTACACTGTACTATTAGGTGTTAATCTGTTTATTTATTAACGCAGCATCTTTAAAAAAGAGATTAATTACTCGTCTTTTAAACTTGTATTTTAATTCAAAAAATGTGTTAATTTGCTACATCAACCAATTAAAACAAGCTCAGCGCTCGCGAGAAATCGTGTTTTCTTTCTTGCAAAAAATTATGCCTAGAGCTCAAGTCAAGTCAAGTCATGTTTAGTCTTTAAATATCTAATGGAAATCTGCCGAGCTCCCCAAAGTTGGCTACATTTAGACACTCCTAGAAAGAACCAACACTATTTTAGGCATACCACTTCTACAGCTGTTTTGTAGGCACTCTCAAGACCCCACATTTGACAACCATACGTTCAAGTTGGACGAAATAGACAGAGAGAGAGTAAAGTTTTAATTCATATTTTTTGTTTATAACCAATTTTCTTTTTTAGTAGAACGTTGCCTATTATGGGACTACTTTTAGACAATCCTAGAAAGAACCAATACTATTTGAGGTATACCACTTCTACAGCTGTTTAGCAGGCACTCTCAAGACCCCAAATTTGACAACCATACGTTCAAGTTGGACGAATTAGAGAGAGAGAGAGAGAGTAAAGTTTTAATTCCTATTTTTCGTTTGTAACCAATTTTCTTTTTTAGTTGCAATAATGTATTTTGTCCTTTTAACTTTTGCTTTTTGTTTGTCATGGCCTCTTCAAATTTTTCATGTAAGTTCAATACGTCACCTAGATAGTTATCTCGGATTAGGTTTGAGAGGTTGGTCAATGCATGTACTGTCGTTACTATTTGCCACAAACTTAAATTTAGTTTTAAATTAATACATTACTAGTATATTATTAGAACAACAACATTATAACAAGATATAAAATGATTTAGTCCCGGAATTGGAGTAGAACAACCCCAAATGACTGAAAACACGAATAAACAAAACGTATAAGCCGGGTCGTATTATTTTGAAAATATAGAATCATTTTAAAATTAATTAATCAACAGATTCGTAAAAACAATATTACCTGATCGTAACTTACCCACGATAGATGAAATTCTAACTTGCCTGCTTACTATAGTCGGGTAACTTTTGTGGTAGCTTGTTTTAATTAAAATACCCCTTCCAAAAATGAAATCACATATTCTGAAAGTACATACCGTTGGCTGATGTGAAGAATGATGGGATTGACATCGCAATGCATTTGTTGATGCCTATAATAATTGTTTCGCTTCTCACCCACATGGAAATCACATAACACATCCAAAATGAAGTCTCGCCAAATGAAAATACGTATAAGCAAACTGTTATCGCCTTCAATGTTCATCTTCGATCTAACCCATTAATTATCTAGGAACGGAAATCTTATTTTACATATACCGAACAATGGGAAAAATAATCTTGAAGCGTTATGTTATAATGCCAAATTACTGAATTATTTCTTGCCGGTTATCGCCCGCGTAAGTTCATATTGACAGGTATGTGTTGCACCTTTCTTCTTCTTTTTATTTTAGTGGCATATGAAGAAAAAATGAAATTGAAACATAGTTACATAGAATGCTCGTCGCTGTTTGATATACATATGGATTGCAAAATTTGTATGGGTATGGATTTTGTCAATACATGGGCATAAATATGCTCACATTTTGGAAGGCTCAGTGGCATCCTCTACCCAGTTTTAAGTTTAATGTCCCGGACCCAATCTAGTGTGTCAGGTGGCCAGGTATTCGGGTTACCCCAATCTGGTAGGTTAAGTGGCCGGGGATCCAGGTAACCCAGAGCTAGAGGGTCCGATGGGCCACCTTAATATGTTCTGTTGGGTGGCCTGGTATTCTGGTGGCCCATTTTGGCAAGTCAGGTGGCGAAAGACTTGGGTGACCCAATCTGATCGTATTGCCTGGAATACGAGTCACTCCACTGGCACATTTTTGAAGGGTCAGTGGCACACCCTAGTCGGCCAGGTGGCCGGGTATTTGGGTCACCACAATCTGGTGGGTCGGGTGACCAGTCCGACTCTGATGGGTCGGTAGCCAGGGATTTGATCGCCCCACTTCGCTGGTGGGTCAGTTTGAAATGATTTTTTTCAGGGAACCCAATATTTACCGAGTAACGTTTCGGAGAATTCGTGTCTACACATGTGTCCCGCCTTTAATTATAGCTAAGAATCTTGCATTCAAATACTTTTCACTTTCTTAATTTGGAAATAAAACACAATTTACCTTTACATGTTCTACACGTATTGTATTTATGGCAGATTGTTTAATATCTAATGTATTGCAGCCCGTGGTGTTCAGATAATAGCATGGCCGAGCAGACTGAAATGTTGTTTTCTATTACATGACTTTACTGACTTCGTCAACCATCTGTGGACGGAATGACTATACGAAATCATGTTTACTTTCATATTTGCCATCATAATTTTTTGACGATATTTATATATTTGATTAACATTTTTATTCATCAAAGCATTTTCGCCTGCTTTCAAGTTGTGGGCAATTATCGAATTAATTGTCAGGTAGGGAGTCGAATAGTTTCATATTTATTCATTTATTGATCATGGCATCTCAGATTTGTATTCAATTACAGGCAAATGTTTAGTGAATTTTCGGCCAATACTGATATTTTTGTTTCTCCGAAACCATCACCCATTCAGTATTGCTAGTTTTTCAACATCCACTCGATGAATTAGCCGTCAATGCGACATGTATTATGCTATTTCAGTTTTTAAAAGGTCTCCACGTGTGGGACTGTGACTGTGACACGTAGTCAATGGCGGCGGCACGAGGGGCGGGGGGCGGACCCCCCTCGAAAAAAATCATGTTGGGGGCGTCGCCCCTCCAAAATCAAGCTGAAACCTTTTTATGTCATCAAAATTTGCCCCTCAAAATGCAGGAAATAGTGTTTCAGAAGGTCTATATTTCAAATTTTTTTCTGAGTAGTTAAAAACAAATCTACAGACAAACTCGTGGTGAACTCGAGACAAATGTACCACATTAGCTCATTGTTTTGTAGAACCAGTAGTCGTAGTTATTATCTTGAGCGCAAGATCCATACTATTATCTATTGAAAATAAAACTATCTCACGAAAAAACAAAAAATGTATGACCAACCGAACCACTATCTACAAGTCGACGCGATTGTCCCATGACCGCTATAATATGCCTTTAAGAACTGCTGACGTGAATGCAAGAACTTATCCTCATCTTTTTAATTACTGAGCGTAACTTACGCGGACGTAGCGTTTTTCAGTGCTTTCAATTCAAACAAATGTAACAATTACAATACATGGTCAGTATTCATCATTAATTGCTTATTTAATTAATTCAACTGACGTGACACTGAACTTGGCTAAAGAGTTTGAGGCACAGTTACAAACTAAACACGTCTAACCAATTCAAAATAAGTTACATCCATGAACCACTCACTATATTTAGAAATTATCAAACATGACGAGTTCAGAATAAGTATTACGAAGTCTGTACATAGTTAGAAATGACAACTTGAAAATATTATATAAATATCTTGTACTTTTATTTTACTAAGGTCAGATGTTAGCGTAACGTGACAAAGCTCAAGTTTGTTTACGAATTGTTGAATCAAACTCTAAATACTACATATATATTTATTTTATGTGGTATTTATGTTATGTTTAATGTAATAGATAATGTTGCACAAATAATTTAGTGTTAGATAAAATATATCTCTGTCCACCCGCCTGCTCACATGATCACAATCCCACCGCTCTACATACAATATTTGTCCAAGGAGGATGAGACAACCTATCACACTATGGTGCCCTCAGCGGCAGCATTAGTAGTTGTTGTTTTTTTTAATTTGAAAAAAACAACAACGCAATTTTCAATGCGATACGATATTTCCAAACGTCATACATACAGACTGTACGTGGACCCCCATATGTCACTGACACACTTCAACATAACTGACACTAATAACAGATCGTTTTTATTCAAGAAAAATTAGTGAACCCGTCCTGTACTCAAACCCGGGCCCAAATATAAGGTGCCCGTCATTTGTGGTATATACTAATTTTAGAAATATATCTTAAAAAAAGAATTCCCTGTAATATTAATTTATAGATATTGTGTAATACATCACAGAAATATGTTGTAACATATTATTCTATAAAAACATACATATTACCGTCATCGCAAACAGAATCGGCGAAACACGATCAATCATTGAATCTGAATGCGCCTAATGAACATTTTCTTCTCGATTCTAAACGCTGTGAATAAATACTGTCATGTTAAAAGCACGACTCAGTGTAGGAATATTTTATTAACATATACAGTATACCCATTTGCTCATTTCCGACAATACACCTCTGATTTTTCTTTCTTTCTTTGCAATGTCTAACTCGGAACTACAGGGAATAATTAGTTTCAACTAACAGTTTGAACAGAGGAAAATATCTTTTCAATTTTCTTTTTATCTTCATTGAAAAGATATGTCTTTTTGTAATTTAGCAGTATATGTTTATAAATTATTGAATATGCAGTGTTTCCAAAAATAAAATCTAACACAAAAAATAACAGTATTAGTCAGTATTAGACATGTCTTGAAGCAATCATAAAATTAATTCCAAAAGGTCTCAGGACCAATAATAGTAATGTGGCCCAGTACTTCGCCATCACATCAACATGTATTTTTAGCTACTTCGTAATTTGTAAACAATATTTAGTGTAGTAGCTTGAATTGTTAAATGCTCGCTTGGGTGTCAATTGTCACTTTGAACAGCCTCATTTGAAGGGTAATTTGAATGTTAAATTCCAGAATCCTGTAAAATTAAATTCACTTTGTTTTTATTCATTTTTATTTTTGTCTAGTGCACAATTAAATCGCGAAAGTGCAAAATGTTTTCAAAATCAGAAATTGTCCAGGCAACGTTAATAAGCTATAGTTTCATATCTTGATAATATCTAGTATGAGGGGATCAGCGTAACTGTTGCAGGAAACGTACACCCCTGCTATCTTGAAAGGTTGTTCTGGCCATTGTTAAAATATTCAATACTCAATATTCAATCCCCAACCCGTTTTTTTTTCATTTCCGCGTCAATTTTCTCCTTATTTATTTGCAGCCCAGAAACGAGACAAAAATCTCCCAACATAGTGAATAAAAATTGAGCCGAATTTTCATCAGCAACAAAGCATGACAGATCACCTACGAATATAGCACATTTAGTTCCCAGTGTATCCAATTTGATGCCCATTAAGGGGTGGACCATTAGAAATTCGTACGTGGCAGAATAATAGCTCAATTATTTTGTCTTCACTTGATTTTTTGCTATTTTTCTCATGACGAATTTTCTGTATTTTGTCTCTCTGTGTGAAATATTTTTCCTTCAAGATTCTGTTACCCCCTGATTGTTAGCATGATTTTTGTTCCCGTTCATTTCCCCCCAATTTGCCCACCTCTCTAAGATTTGTATTGTTGTTTAAGGCATGTACATATTATATATAATAGGTACATCATTACATGATTAAATTATATAAAAAGATCTAAATAGCCCACACGAATATAAATGGTGGCATAGGGTCTCTTGTATCGCGCCTTTGAAAATTTGAGGGGGGGGGGGGCAAGGGGTAGGTGATACAGGTTATAGAAAATAAAAAAGGCATTTCACGTTTTTACAGGAAATAAAACGAAAGTTCCATTTATAGTAAAATAGGTTTTTACACTTTACATATAAAGTAAATTCCTAAATACATTTTTATAATATTTTTGATAATTTGTATCTACAAATCATAATTGAAAATTGTGTACAAATTACGACATTTGAAAAATGCTTTAATATACGCTTACAAAAAATAATATCTTTGTACAAAATACGGACGAATAATTTTACGAACGATTTTACACCTTGCCCATGTCTATGAATTTACGTTTTTTTATTTTTTTTAAATTACATTATTACGAAAATAAAATAATTGATTACTGTCACCTTGCGAATATATCCCTTGCCGACCCTCTTGAAAGTAACCTAAACTATAGACATTGGTCACCACGCAATTATTTTGCTGACTTTTTAACTTGCAAAATTGTGCTCAACGAAACTTTCCCGCCGCGGATTCATTTATAATATGCATGGCACTCACCTGTTCTTCCTGCACATATTGCTATTTATCGATAGGCTGGAGGGTCCGATCTTGTGACGTCTCTGAATTAACCGGCTCGTGAAGGCATGTTTCTTATGATGTGCATTTATTTTGACTGTTTATTTCTGTGAATTCAACTTACCCATATATACCAAAAATGATCCGCAGCAGGCAGGAGGTTGATAAATATGTGTCTGCCGCAATTCGTAACCTTTCAAGCCCACACGAGGTGAGTACCGTTTTCGCCGGAAATGGATACCGTTGTTTGAAATTGAATGTCCGGTGTCCATTGAGGGTGCCATTTGATAACGAATTACAACATGTGGCGGGTGGTGCCGATGTTTCGTTCCATGCACTCCACCAGATCGATCAGTGGATGTAGTACTGCGTGTATGCATTCATTATCGAGGTCGAACAGTAAACTTGTCTTTGTGTCTGTGTTTGTTTTGACATTTTAATACGAAGCAGATATGCGAATATTATTTCTTTGCTATTGTTCCCAGAAATAAAACCATCAACACGGAAGTATAAACAGACGTCTAGATCCATGGGACGATATATTGTTTACCAAAATAAGAAAAGACTATCCTGAACCACCGACATCTCGGCAGTGGTACAAAGAAAAAAACAAAATTAAAATCACTGTATGCATTCCCTAGTCTCCAAATTACTACATAGTACCTGTAGCTGTGGAAAATAGCAGAAATTAGTATTGCAATTTGCATCCCAGTAGAGCAACTTGCAATAAATGAATTCACAATAGTGAATTTGTTGCATAACTGATAGCCCACTGGTATTCAGGAGACTTACAACACAGTATAACTAGTTATTCCAAAGCTGTAAGGAAGGATACAGAGCACTGTAGTGTTTTCTACTTTGTTCACACTCTGTCATCTCACCTCTCCAGAATCTGTATTTTGCGACAATTATAGACAATAATTTTGAATAAATGTTGAAATTATATATAAAGATAAATGTACAATCACACTGATTGTATTTTTCAAATACAATGATTAGAAACGAAAAACTTCAAATCAAATCAAATCCATGTTAACTAATTCAATTCAGTTTATAATGCAGATGCAAACTAGTTTTTGTCTCGCTGTAATTACCAAGCCAGGGTGCTGGACATCTCGACCCATTTTTCATTGGACAACTCGACCCAGGACCCCTAGACATCTCGACCCACCTATTTCAGACGACCCGCCGCCTCGACCCGATCCCAATAGCGTCGTACTTTTCTCAATAGCGTCGTACTTTTCCCAGTGCGCGTAGACCACAGTGTTTGTTTCACTGATTTTTTTTTTTTTGCTGCTTTTGCTGTTCATTTCACAGCACGCGACCCCTGAAAGTGACGTCATTTTTTGATTGATCCATTGTCGCGCTTGATGGGTGATAAGTTATTTTTCAAGGAGGTGACACCGAAACGTGTTGCCACTAATATTCACACGTAACAAAGGGCGTGAATTTTAAGTTATCAAAGAGCAACATTATCAACGTTGAACTAGATAGAGGTTCGCGTCGCCACACTTAGATAGGGTCTGGTCGATTTGGTGGGTCGAGAATCCCAGGGTGTCTAGGTCGAGATGTCCAATTTGGGTCGAAGTGTCTTGGGCCAAGAAATTTTTGGGTCGAGATGTCTAGAAATCACCAAACTAGCTGTCCCACACGCTATTCAGCCTGGGTTGTCAGCTTTTCCTGCATAACTAAATCCATTAATTTTGTTTCACAAATAGAAAAATGTGGTAAGCAGTCTTTTTGAGGTGATGATAAGATTGTGTCAAATTTTGATTCTACATTGCAAAGTCATATGTTTAACATCCGGATACTCATTTTGACATTTGGTAATCTAAGTATATATTCTACTACATGTATTTTGCTGTGGCAGTTCCATTTCAATCTATACACTCTACTGGGGCAATAAATTGATGGCCTCGACATTCAACTTTCGCACCTATTATTGAAAAAAAATATCGCAAAATTAGTATGCATGAGTGCACTTCAACCTCAAAGTTCCTGAGAAAAAGTGGATTTCATTTGAATAAAATTTGGTTTGCTGTCCCCACTGGATCAATAAACTATATTAGTTAATTTTATTCAAACTTGCATGTACCCCTTGACTCTGCTTCAATTTGAATTAGTTAAACATGGTTTTGAACAAGATTAGCTCAAATGGCGACAACTGAACCAACTTCGATCCAAATTGAAATTGCTTAATTTTTTTCTAGTGAGGACAGGGCAATAGTCTATTCCACAGAAATCTTCTTACACATGCAATGTGATTAATGGAAATCATTCTGACGCAATTATACAATGCCACAACAACCTGAAACAACATACAATATGGCATTTAGTTGTCTCTTAAAAAATACTAGATTATTCCCCATTTACTGGTTATATACCAATGACTTGAAGGTGTCTGAGCTATTCTGACCACTGATCAAACCCTGACATATTTATTTGGGTATTGATGTTTTTCCTGCAAAAAAAAAAAATCTATCCTGGAAATTATTTCACTAAACACAACCTGTCAAAGAAGTATGTGTGTGATTTTCTATGTTTGCAGTGACGATATATGACAATTGGTGATTATATACATCCTGAAGGGAAGCTATACAGGAAATAATTAAGAATTCTTCTTAATTTTGTGATATGGTCATCTTCAAATCAGAAGACAAAATAGCAAATAACATAACGAAAATAATTTTTATTGGTTGATGTACTCCTCTTATTTTTTCAGCAAAATCTTAAAGGTTATGCGTTTGCTCGTATGTATTACGAAGCACAAGACTATGATAAAGCAATCCACTACATTACTGTCTACTTGAGTGTCAACCAATCAGATGCTAAAGGTCATAGACTGTTAGGAAAGATACAACAGACAAAGAAACATTATGAGAAGGCAATTGATTCCTATAGAAGATCATATGAGTTGAATAATACCCAGAGGGATTTAGTTTTACAAGGTATTTAAATATGTTCTAATGCCTGGTTTTTGAGCCAAGAATTCGGTCAAGCTTAAGCCATTCTGTTTTAGGTTTAGAATTGCCAGTAAATCTTGAAGGACGGAGAATTAAGCTAGTGCACTACATATAGTGATGAGAAGTTGAATATCTTGTGGGGAACGATATGTTGCGGTTATGGAAAATAGCGAAAAATTAGTATGCAAAATTATCTGTTACACAAGCAGCACCAACCACCACAGTAGAAAGACTTGTAATACATTCAGGATTTATTTACTGATAGAAATCCCGCTGGCAATTCTAAGACTTACAACGCAAGATTATACGATATAACACAAATTGTAAGAATGACACAGAACTTGCAGTATGCCCTTGATATACATCAATAAGATCTTGGCCATGTAAGAAAATTAGCGAGAAAGCCTCTAATTGGATGAATTTAAAAATTGAAACAAAAGAACACACTGCGATGGTTTCTACCATGTTCGCACTTGTGTCGTCGTCTCACTTCAGAATCCGCATTTTGAAACAATGTAGGCTTGTATAAGTCAGAATATTATTGAACTTGTATAAAACGAAATAAGCAATTATATTAATAAACAAATATTGCATGTTTCAATTACAATTCTTTGCAGAAAAATGATTTGAAAATTACTCTGACATATCTAGAAAATGTAAAGTGATATAAAAAAAAAAATGTAAATTGTATTCTCCTACATTTGTAAAGCTTTATTTTCTAAAATCATTATGTTGTTTGCCTTTAAGATTATCACAAGAATACACAACATATGTACTGGGGCAGTGTCTGATCAGTTGATACAAGTAACCAATACTGCCTTTGTGTATGTTTTGTGGTATTCTTGCAATAACACACTGCAGAGATGTTGTACGTATTTTTACAATACAGTACATAGATGTGATATGTACAACACAGTACACTGATATAATCTTTACAATATAGTACACTGATGTTATATTTACAATATATTCATTTTACTTTCAGTTGCTGAACTTTACTGTCATGTACGAACAGACCCACAACGTGCGCAGTACTGGGTTGACCAGGCAACTCGGTTCTTTCAAGGTCACAAAACTATCTTCAAGCTTCGAGTGAGTAAACTATGTTTTATTTGTGTTTACAGCGAGTGCAAACAAGATACGTTTGGGGAAGTTAACAAACTTATGGACATTGCAATATAGCCACTGTCAAATGATCTAATGTTATGAAAACAATTCGCTACATTTTGTAACAATCTCACTTCCCCTGGTGCCACTTGATTATGGATTATTTATTTTTTGTGTAGTTACAGTATGTCTGTTTTCATTTAAAGTACATCCATGCTATGGTAACACACATTTAAAGGTTTTCTTTGTCATATTTATATATTATTTAATTATTTAAATAGACAAATGAGCGACTACGCTAATGACTTCTCTATTACTTATACTAGTATTATTATGATTGTATCCAAACTGCCAGTAGACACGGCGTTCTGATTCATTGTACCTTGTGCAAGTTTGACCTGGGTTTGAATAACAATCAGATTTGCATTTGTGAGTCAAATGTACTAGATTAATTCTCTTATGACCAGGGGGTAAGACTCTTTCTAGCCCAGTTGTGATTTAATGTGAATGGGATTTGGCTGGCCGGTTTTTGAGCCTTGTAGACCGACACACTAAATCACAACCGGGCATTGTACATGGTTCACATTTATTCACAACTGGGCAGGCAAACTCACAATTATTCACAATCGGACAGAGACTGAATCACAGTAAATTTTGAATGGTCAGGCATCAGGCACAGTAAATCACAATAGGCAGTCATTGTATCACACTTGCCTATGTTGCTTCACAGTAAATCTCAAACGGACGGTCACTCATTCACAGTAAATCTCAAACGGACGGTCACTCATTCACAGTAAATCTCAAATGGACGGTCACTCATTCACAGTAAATCTCAATCGGAGAGGCATTGAATCACAGTAAATCACGATAGGCAGTCACTGTATTCCACTTACCTATGTTGCTTCACAGTAAATCTCAAATGGACTGTCACTCATTCACAGTAAATCTCAATCGGACGGTCACTCATTCACAGTAAATCTCAATCGGACAGACACCCATTCACAGTAAATTTCAATTGGAGAGGCAATGAATCACAGTAAATCACAAT